TCTGTGCATTGTACTAGAGTCCAGTGAGCACAGCCCTAGGCACCTGTGAGCCAGGCATTCTCTGATCCATTCACTTTTTTTCAGACTGTATTTTGTTAGAGCAGTTTTAGGTTCATAGCAAAATTGAGAGGAAGGTACAGAAATGTCCCATATACCCACTACCCCTACACACGCACAGACTCCCCTACTATCAGCATCTCCCCCAGATGGTACATTTGTTACAGTCAGTGAATCTACATTGACACCATCATCACCAAAAATCCACAGTCCACATTAGGGTTCACTGTTGGTGTCGTGTAATCTATGGGTTGCATAGTGACAGATGTCCAGCATACCATCATACAGAGCAGGCCCTAAATATCCTCCGTGTCCCACTTGTTCCACCCCTTTCCCTACCCCCAAACTTTGATCTTTTTCTGTCTCTGTAGCATTTGCCTTTTCCAGAGTATCATGTAGTCAGACTCAAGCAATCTGTGGCCTTTTCAGATTGGCTTTATTCATTCACTTAGTCATAGGCATTTAAGTTTCCTCCATGTGTTTTCATGGCTTGATAGCTCATTTGTTTATTTATTTATTTGATTTACTTTTTTTTAGAGACGAGGTCTCACTCTGTCACCCAGGCTGGAGTGTAGTGGCGTGGACATAGCTTGCTACAGCCTCGAACTCCTGGGCTCAAGTGATCCTCCCACTTCAGCCTCTCAAGTAGCTGGGACTACAGGTGTGCGCTGCCCTGCCCACCTAATTTTTAAAAATTATTTTTATTTATTTATTTATTTTAGAGACAGGTTTTCACTATGTTGCCCAGGCTGGTCTGGAACTCTTGGCCTTGAGCAGTCTTTCCACCTCAGCCTCCCAATTAGCTGAGCTTACAAGTGGAAGCCACTGCACCCAGCATTTGTTTTTAATGCTAAATAATATTCCAGTGTCTGGACGTACTGTGGTTTATTTATCCATTCACCTACTCAAGGACATCTTGGTGGCTTCCAAGTTTTGGCAATCATGAATAAAGCTGCTATCCATGTTTCAATTCAGGTTTTTGTATGAACACAAGGTTTTCTACACCCTTGGATAAATACCAAGGAGCAGGATTTCTGGATCATATGGTGAGAGTATGTAAAAGTATGTTTAGTTTCATAATAAATTGCCAGGTTGTCTTCCAAAGTGACTATACCATTCTGAGTCCCCACCAGCAATGAATGAGATATCCTGTTGCTTCATGTCCTTGCCAGCAATTAATGTTGGTCCTTCCATTTTTAAAAAACGCTACTAAATTGAATTATGGTAGAAACTACCGGAGAGCCAGAAATAAAGCCAAAAATGACTCTGAGCAACAAAGCTAAATGTCAGATCCTGTGACATTCACATGGCCAGGCCCCTCATGCCCTTATTCAAAGCCGCCATACTCTTATTCTACACAAAACACTATTGAGCTAAGTTTTCTGTTTTCCAAGCCCACTAAAAATTAGAGGCTGTAAAGAGGTGAAGACAGTAAAAATATAAAACAAAAAACGCACACATTAGTCTGTTTACAAATAAGTTAAATAAGTATGTAATCCTGCACACCGTGAAGGCGTAACTGCATATCAACTTGTCATAACTGGTATTTATAACAATGACCTTAAAGTACTTGTTGAAAGAATCAAAGATCATTAAAAACTGGGGATAAGTCCCTACTTTATAGATTTGTTGTTGAAATTAAATGAGATGTGCCTATTATGCTGAGTATAGCATCTGATACCTAGTAAGTGCTACTATTGGCTCCTATGTAATGATGAGGATGATGATAATGATGGTGATGATGATGATGTACCAAGTGGTTAGAGAATCAAAAGGGGAAGAAATGGAGAGGAAGGAGTATTGGAATTCCTTGGGCATTTATTGAGATACCCCTATGTCCACTTGGTTCCTATTCTAGAAAAAGTCCATGTCTATCAGATCGTGATTAATATTAGAATGCATCTATTTATAGAAGTGTGGTGTGACCACATAGTTGAGGAGGCTGTTAATTTTGACTACAAGATTAGGGAAAGCTACAAAAAATAGTTGAACTAGGCTTGAAAGATTTTGCTATTTGGTAAGGGGTCGGCATTTTTAAAAAAAGGACAATCCAGGCAGAGGAAACAGACTTTAAACAAGGTAGACAATCATGGAAATTGTGCCATAGTTAAGCATGTAGACCAGGGTAAATTCAAAGAATGTGTGGCTAATAGATGAGCTAGAAAGTTTCCTGAGACCAGTTTATGACTGCATAGCATATTACCACAGGGAGGATAGATTTTATTTGAAAGTCCATAGGTTGCTATTAAAAGCTTTAAGCTGAGAAGCTGTATGATTAAATGCCTGCTTTGACACATGCTCAAAATGAAGGCAAGATAAAAAAATAAAAATAAAAAATGAACTTGAATGGGTAGAAAGTGGAGGCAGGAAGACCAAGCAGGGATTCTTGTGATGGTTTGGGTTATAGCCAAAGCCCTGCAACTTGAGAAAAAGTGACAGGTAGACTTGGTAAGATTGAGTTGTCTATTAGAAGGGCCAGGGGAAATGGGCAGAGAGAGAGGGCATGTAGAAAGTACAGTCAAGAAATGACTTTGGGAGCCCTGACTTGGGCAACTGGGACAACCCAAGGAAGGAACTTTTTACAAACCCAAGATTTATCTTTTAATCTTCATAACCCTCGGGTGGCATGAAAGAATCCAAATCTTTAATACCATTTCAATTCTAAGTTTATTTGATATTTTGTTGTTTACCCCAAGAGAACACCACTTGAATTATACCATCGGGCTAGAACCAAATGAATGCAATTTATTTTTCTAAAAATTCCAAGTAGAGATAGACAAATTTGTTCTCAAAGAACAAATTCTAACCCCAAAATGGCCAAATATAATCCAGGCTGGGCCATCTGTTGTAATAGCCACTAACCACATGAAGTTACTGAGCATTGGAAATATGGCTAATCCTAATAAAAATGTGATGTGACTGTAAAATACACATCAGAATTCAGAGATTTAATATAAAAAACAGAATACACAGTATTTTGTTAATTGTTATATTGATTACATGTTGGAATAACAATATTTTGGCTATATTGAATTAAACTATATTACAAAAATAATTTCACCACATTTTAATTTTTTTAATGTCACTACTAGAAAATTTTAAGTTACATATGTGGTTCACTTTATATTTCTATTGGACAGCACTGGTGTAGGAAATTCAAGTTTTGGAGTGTCAGTATTGAATGACTATATAGAGACCAAGGGTATATTTTCTATTACTGCTCCTCTTCCCATTACTGGGGAAGATCTCACCACCTGATGTTTTCTAACATCTTTCTATGTGTCCTTATTCTTATTAAGAAGGAAGTAGTTACCATAGCAACTGCCACAACACCTTGTATTTACTATACCTGGAGGGAAAGATATATACAGACATCAATCTTTCCTCCAGGTTTACACATTTGTATTTTCTCATGCACATCTGAGTCTTCCTTGGCAAAACAGAGCACCAAGAGTAGGAGACCTTTCTTCTAACTCCTGCTGTTGTCACTGGGTTCCCTGGGTCTGTATAAGGAGAACAGTAAGTACCCCATGCCCACTTCAGATGGATATGGGGACAGAGAGTCGCAAAATACTTTGGAAGTGATATTAGGGCACAGTATCCATCTCATGTCACATATTTTAATATGATAATGGCATCTCACACTACTTAGAATCGTAGAGGCAGGCAGGAAGGAGAAAGCAGTTTCCTTTGGTGGTATGCTGGGATTACAGAAGGAAGAAAAGGAAATCCTAATAGAAGGTTGACCAGTGTTAGCATTTGCTGTCACAGACATTAATAGTCCTTTTCAAGGTCTTCCTATGTTCAGCAACAAGGCTCCACTGGCTGGGAGAATTTGGGAGCCCAGAGCCCCCTGTGCGTATAGTTCATCTTGATTTTGACTTGATCATCTTGGTTCATCTTGATGGGAAAAGTGAACAGGTTGGAGTATTTTTTAATTTGATTGTCATGTTTTGTGATGCTTTAACTGTTATGCTCATTTATGGCCATCTAAGTTTCTCAAAGAGCCTCTCGTCGATGGGTCAATTTCCACTAACCACATGAAGTTACTGAGCACTGGAAATATGGCTAGTCCTAATAAAAATGTGATGTGACTGTAAAATACACATCAGAATTCAGAGATTTAGTATGAAAAACAGAATACACAGTATTTTGTTAATTGTTATATTGATTACATGTTGAAATAACAATATTTTGGCAATATCGAATTAAATAAACTATATTACAAAAATAATTTCACCACATTTTAATGTTTTTAATGTGACTACTAGAAAGTTACATATGTGGTTCACTTTATATTTCTATTGGACAGCACTATGAGTCAATTCTATGTTTGAACATGCCTTCTTCTCAATGTGTATCATCTGGACAAAGATGACAGATGCTAAGACAATGAAAGTGGGACAGACTGAAATGACTCTTAATACTTTGACCCAAAACAGTGGTGGCTTCAAAATGTCTATGTAGACTGGCCTTAGAGGTTAAAGTATGATTGGAAGTAGAGGCTAGGGGCTTGAGCTTCTACCAGGTGCTTGCACCACCTGGCCCTGCCAGACTCACACCTTAAATTGAGCCACAGTCTCCTCAAGTGTGGGCTGTAGTCCCAGCCCCATGGGAGGCCGAGGTCGGAGGATCACTTGGGCCCAGGAGTTCCAGACCAGCCTGAGCAACACAGTGAGACCTCATCTCTGCAAAAAATTTAAAAATTATCTAGATGTAGTGGGGCATGTGCCTGTGGTCCCAGCTACTTGGGAGGCTGAGGCAGGAGGGTCACTTGGGCCCAGGAGTTGGAGTTTCAGTGAGCGATGATTGTGCCACTGCACTCCAGTCTGGGTGACAAAGCGAGATTCCATCTCTCTCTCTCTCTCTCTCTCTCTCTCTCTCTCTCTCTCTCTCTCTTTCTCTCTCTCTCTCTCTCTTTTAAAAAAGGTGTTTGCATTGCAAGCAAGCAGTTGTCCCTTGGACATTATGTTCATTTGAGGTGGCTGGGAGAGGGTTTATGATGATCAAGGGCTAAAGACCCCCAGCCTAAGTTACCCTGCTTTGGCATCTCACAGAACTTAGATATGTGGCAAAAATAATAAAGGTTCTAGGTCTGCACATGTATTATAGCTCTACATGCAGCTTTTCAACTGATGTTCCTTCTATCATTTGAAAATCCATTCAGTGACTTATCCAATCTACAGAGAGCCACCCTTTAAAAAAATCAAGGAAGCTGCTACGGTTACATCTTTTGAAATTGCTGCTAACTCAGCATTGGCATTTGGGAGGTCTTCTACCCAAGAAGAATTAAACCAAAGGGAAATACAAGTGCTATCCAAAAATGCAGTCCCTCTAGGGAAGGTTCAGGAAAGGTTAATTGTCATTGTTCGGTGTTTGGAGGTCTCCCTCTCTGCTCTTCCCCTCCTGGGGATGGGGCGGCTGCTGCCTGCCCGGGGAGTGGGGGCAAAGTAAGGCTTTCTGGTCAGAACTCAAATAGCACAGTTTGAATTGTATAATGGAGCTGCCCTGAGTCAGGTGACGGGATCACTGAGTAATTCCCTGCAGAAGGAGACAAACTGCATGTTAAAAAGCTCAACAAATACTCTTAAAAAAAAAAAAAGCCCAGGCTGTAAATTCCAGACTTCCAAGCTGCAGTTTCCTCTGACGGCTCTCCAGGCTGAAATGGCTGGGCGGGCAGGCTGAGTCTGAGGACTGGCAGAGGTTGGGGACGGCCAGCCCATGCAGGTCGGGGGTCTGGTTTGGATCGCCCAGTTACTTTCTGTTTCATTTTTTAAATGTTCCCTGTTTCTGAAACTAGTTGCCTTCCCATGTCAAGTAAAACGCAGGACTCCCTGGAGACTCCAGCCAGGCTTTTGAGAACTGGAGCTTCGTGAAGGTAAGAGGTGGCTTGTGTCCCGCAGGCTAGGGGCTGCCACCGCCCCCCCCCCAGGTCTGAGTGCCCACAGGTCACGGCCAAGGGGAGTCGGTGTGCCCACCAACTGTTCTGGGATCTGAACGAGCCTCCAGGGGGCTTGGGGTTAGAAAAGGGACCCTCCCTGCCAGATGGGCGGCCACCTATCCACGGGGAGTTGAATCCATGCCCCAACTTTGGGTGGCTCCCTCCCCTTCTCCGTCCCACCCCACGTGAGAGCTGCTCAGCGGCCAGGGGATTGGCACAGCTGGGAAGGAAGGCGAAGGGGCTGCCTGGCACGGAGAAGCTGCATGGGCGTGTGTAGCATGTGTGTTTTCAGAGCCCGACACTTGAGGAGACTGTGGCTCGATTTAAGAAAGCACAGCTATTGGAAAGGCAGAAAACAAACCCGGAGAGGCGGATACATGTAGGAGCAAAGAGCTTTGGGACATCTTTAAGGTAGGCATTGGAGTCTGAAAGAATTTGATTGCTTTTTGTGTGCTAGGTGGATTTTGTATCGGTTTTATGCTTTGCTCGGTTTAGAAGAATTTTCCTTTTTGGAACTGCCAGTATGAATTGATTTGGTTTCAAAATTCTCAGACCTGGTTCACAGGATGTCTTGGAGCACACAGTTTCAGTGTAGATGCCTCAGAGTCGGGGAGATCGATATAAAACTGGTGAGGATTTTTTCAAAGAGGAGATTCACTTGCAAATCTCACTGTGATGGAGACCCTCTGGGAGCCCTGGGTGCCTGCTGAGACAGGCAGCTCTTAGGAACCTCAGGAAGTTTCCGACTTAAAGAGACAGGAAAGGAAAAATCGAATTCGCAGCTGTTATTTTAGGGAAAGTGGGCTCAGGGAGAAGTTGTTCATGATAAAAGGGAAAGAGGACTTGGAAGATGAAAGGATAAATAAGGAATAGGTTTGATGGGATCTCATCTCAGGCCGTGGCATTTTGCGGTTTGCTGCATGGGGAGACAAATCAATATGGGAATTGATAACAGCTCATTTAGCATGAATAAGAAAATGCTACCATGAATTCTTTTTTCACTGACTTCTAGAGAACCTGAGGAATAGCCAAGGCATTAGTTTGCAAGAATTCATTTCTAATTGTTCTTCTTCTTCTTCTTTTTTTTTTTTTTTTGGGCCACGTGACTTGCTCTAAACAAAATATGGTGATGTTGGAACCAAAAGTAAAATGTCCTTTAGAATGGTATCTATAAACAGATATTCAAGTTTTTGCTGTCTCTCATTCTTTCTCTGCCTTACTCCCAGCTTGGGGCAAATTATATGAGTTGAATGTGTCTAATAGAAACAGCTCTTTAAAGTGGTATGATTATCCCTGTGAAAGGATATTTGAATATCAGAATAAAAATTATCTTGAATCTCTGGGTCTTAAATCTTTAAGACTACAGATCATATTTGGGAATCAACAAGACTGTGGATCGTGAATTTTTGCAGTCTTTTCTCTACTGTGCTCCTATCACCCATCTATTCTGATGCTTGACAAACAAAAATGAGTAACCAAGCCAAGAGGCATGATTGAGGTTTTTCACTAAAGCTCACATTTGAAATAAAGATACTTAAAATATCTTCATAATAGTATAAATATTCATAATATAAAAAACAGCCCATGGACCCTCTTTTTAAGGCCATGGCGGTCCCTCAGGAAAGCACTGCTTAAATAATTATTGTCCTCACAGTCAGTTCCTTTTATCCAGATTTCCATCAGTTAAAACTTGCTGGAAACCTGCATTTCTGCATTTCAGTAATATCATGAGGACTGAGATTCATAAGAATGAGTCCAGACACAGCAAGACCCATCCGGGCCTTCCAAATCACAGAAGATAACATGATGCTCTAAATAGTTTTAGTTTTGAGTGCATTGCCTTGCACGCTAATTCCCTAAAATTTGGTAATCTGCCTAGATTGCGGTGCCTACATTTTCCACACCAAGGACCAGGACTTGTGGTCTTACAGAGAATTTTTGTGTTACTTTCAGTGTGAGGGACCATCTGGGAAATGCAGTTTGGATGCCAAGTTTTGCTCATTTCTGGGATAGTTCAGTAGTTTATGGGACAAATGATCAGAAGATGTGAAATAGGACAGATTTTGAAAATCCAGTCCTTAGGGAAATAAAAGTGCTTTGATTAAAATCAGGTTTTTGAGTCAGATTGATTGGGGTTTCCATTCTAATTCTGCCACCTATTCGGTGGGTGACTTGGGCTAGTTTCTTAACCTTTGTAAGGCTCAGTTTACCCATCTGTAAAATTGGATAGTAACAGTACTTACCTCACATGTTGTATGGGAAGGAAACAAAATAATGCATGACTGGAACAATATGTTGTACTTTGCCTGGCACAGTTAGCACCTTAAAGAGTACCTGCTATTATTATCGTTGTCATTTATGGTATGTAGTGACCACAAAATATTTCAAGAACCGGGTCATTTTTTTTTTCCTTTAAATGCCCAGAGAGTAAAGAATGTGTGTGAAACTTTAGCTCACATTTGTGATTTCCAAAATGTTTTGGAATTAATTCATTAACAAGTTTATTCCTCTATATGAGGAGGCATGATCATTCCCACATTTTGGACAAAAGGGTGGATTGAACTGGATTAAGGTGCTATCGCAGGACATCAGTGATAGCACCAGAGAATAAATATTTACCTCGAGACTTCAGTGATCTGAGCTGGGGAGGCCCACACCAGGGAGGGTCCAACAAGGACAAAGTAGCACTGTCTCTGCAGAGCCCCAGACACCTTCCACTGGCTGTAGTTTGGTGTGGCAGGTTTGATTTTCCTGCTTCGGCCATGCCATTAGTTGTGATTCTGCCCTTTTCACATCCTGAATCTGCTGGGCTCGGGGCTTCTGTAGGCTTTTACCTAACCTGGGCAGCTCAGGTGTCTGGGCCATAGTGATCCATGACTACACAGTTCCAAGTCTCCACGGGGGACAACACAGAATCTGCTATCCTTATGTGGCCTCTTCAGAACTGCATTTTTATTTTCTCTTTGTAGTTGCCTAACATGGGGATTTTTTAATGCCTCCAGTAAAGCAAACTCCTGATCATGTTCTATAAAGTCCAGAGACAGTGGTATAGTTACTCTAAAAGGGTAAAGATACCAAAAGACCTTTCCTTTTGCATTCGATGGGTATTCAGTATTCCTATACAGTTCAAAATTCACAGTTGCAGGGAAAGGATTTCCTAAAAGATTCTGTAGCTATACCCTGAGCTTCTCTAGGAAATTAGCTGGAGAAAAAAATTTCTCTTGGAATTTTTCATGAAGAAAGCAAAGTGAAGAATAGTACAAGGTGTTTTCTTCTAAGAAGCCTACCACAAAGATAACATCAATGTCTAAAATTAAGAGAAACAGAAAAAAAGAATCCAACAGAATTACAGAAAAATAAGACATAAGCTTCAAAAACAAAGAAGCAAATTTTGAGATGGAAAAACACCCAAACTTGAAAATAATATAATGATAAGGAAAAAGGAAAAGGAGTGGATTATGGGAGAAACAGTAAAGAAAATGTTATCAAAAGACTTGGTTACAGAGTCAGTCATCTGCCCTGGGTAAATCATTCAGTTGAGTCTATTTGATCACCTATAAAATGGTAAAAATAATTTCTACCCTAATCTCAGGGTACCTAAGAGAAACAAAATGAGATCCTGTGTCAAAACTTAAAAGATAACCAGGTTCTAAAGGATTCCCCTTAACAATGTTGGGAACTTGAACTCCACCTGGGCCTAGCAAACAGGTGTTAATAAGTATTTAGGATTGAAGAAAATTGACCCAAAAAGAAGGCATGTGTGTGTTACTAAAAACAAGGATTTTCTTATTGATAATAAGGAAGAAAATCACCTTGGATAATCCATAGCTAATGAATGAGTTTGCTAAGTCTGCCATAACAAGACACTACTGACTGAGTAGCTTAAATAGTAGACTTCATTTCTCACAATTCTGGAGTCTGGAAGTCCAAGATCAAAGTGCTGGTAAGGTGGTTTGCTCTTGAGGTCTCTCTCTTTGGCTTGTAGATGGCAGCCTTCTCTCTTATGTCCTCACACGGATGCCCCTTGGTCTGTGTGTGTCTTCATCCTAATCTCTTCTTATAAGGACACTACTCACATTGGATTAGGCCTCCAGTTTATTACCTCATTTAAACTTAATTATCTCTTTAAAGGTCCTATCTCCAAATAGAGTCACATTCTAAAGTACTAGGGGTTAGGGCCTCAACATAGGAAGTTGGGGAAAACACAATTCAGCCCAGAACAACTATCAAGTTAATGAAGAAAACTCATTAAAAGGTGTATTCTTGTTTTAGGAATTGATCAGGTCCATACAAGAACATGATATTTCCATAAAGGAAAATAGTATCTCTAGTCTGCTGATAGGAGCCATCATGGAAGGCAGCCTGGTAGACCTGGCCCAAGCCAGAGAAGAATTTTAAGTATTTTATGAAGTAGTCCAGAGGAGTAAGAGGGAAAGTGAGGACCTTGTTTATTGACATCTATTAATACCTATGGATTCTGTCAAAGAACTAGTAGATTATCCCTGGGAAGGTTGCGTCTCTGTGGTGGCAGCTGTTCTTGGAGGATGGATTTGACACAGTTTTGAATTAGATGGTCCTTTGAGGTCAGATGGATTATTCCACATCTCTGCATAATTTCCCACTTCCTTTCGATATTCAGTCTCTTACAGGAAGATCAATCCTGTCATCAGGTTCCTCCCATGTTCTGCACAATCATGCACACTCTTCACCATTTCTTCAGTCGGCCCCCAGCCCTCCCTGCTCCCATCCAGTATTCACAGTGACGTTCAGTGACATCATTACTTGAAATACACACATGTGGGCACATACATGCACAGGTGCACACACATACACATTCATTTGTTCTTGAAACAGAATTTGTAAATAGAGAGGAAGAAGATTTGCAAGTGATTTTTACAAATCATTTCCTTTCTAACTTTCAGATCTTGGATTTCAGA